GTGTGTGTGTGTGTGTGTGTGTGTCGTCGTCGTCGTGTCGTGTCGTCGTCGTGTGTGTGTGTGTGTGTGTGTGTGTGTGTGTGTGTGTGTGTGTGTGTGTGTGTGTGTGTGTGTGTGTGTGTGTGTGTGTGTGTGTGTGTGTGTGTGTGTGTGTGTGTGTGTGTGTGTGTGTGTGTGTGTGTGTGTGTGTGACCAAGCCAAAAATGCCAACCGCCTTGCCCTTTTCCTTTTTGTGGAGTTATGATATGATAACCTTGCTTTCATACCTCCTACATCAGACTTCTGCGATATCCCCAACTACCAACAATAGTGTGTGGTTTTCACTTTCTCATTTTCATGCAGAGAAAAGACAGATGGCTTTGTAACAAATACGGGCGTGCATACACCCGTATTTGTTACAAAGGCATCTGTCTTTTCTCAAACACCTCACCCACTACACCGGCTCTCCTTCCCCCTCTATTCCATGACCCGAATGCACTTTTCCTACACTTCCCCTCTTCACAAATACACCACCGACACTCCTGGCCTCCCCTCTCTTTTTATTCCATCACGAACGAAGCGCGCGGAAAACCACGCAGATGCCTTAATCGCATCGTGAAATCATGCAGTCAGTCTCTCTCGTTCTCCCACCTGCTCTTACAACGCACAGCGCGGTAACAGGCGCACAGCGTTCGATATTAGCAAGCAAAGTATAACGACGGAGGTCGGAGTTTATAGGCAGATGCCCGCGCGTATCCACGAAGCTGCGTTGGTTCACGGTAGAACGTGTGTCCTCACGACAAAGCCCGCGTGTCTCGTTATAATGGGGTCAAATGTCGCAAGCGATGACAGTCTCGTCCGCCCGGCTGCCGCCGCCGCCGCTGCGCTACCCCTTCTTACGTATGCGCGGACGTTCGCAAGCGCCTATCGGATTTCTCGAGAAATATCTTGATAGATAAAAGCATTAAAATATAAATTGAGGTGGCCGACCGGTCGCGCGCGTAAAATTCGAACGCTCTTTTGATCGGGCAGAGTAGCGGTGCAAGATAACGGTTTCGTGTGATCATTAGAGCGCGTAATTAGATTCGGCGCACTTGTATATACACACTGCTCATGGAGATTACCCGCAGACCCGCGTCGCTGAGTTTATCCGGGGCTGCCTCGCGCATGCGCACTCGCCGACCCTCGATGTCCTCCCCTGCATGCGCGTGCTGCGCCTCTCTCGCCGTTAACGTACGGATGCATTACCCTGCACGTGCCGGCTCTCTCTTACTACTCACTGGTGTTTGGCGACGTTCTTATTTTGTCATATTTCCTTGCGTTATTTAGCGTTCTTTTTCTTTGTCTTGGCTGCGTTTTTCTTTGTTTATCTTGTGTATGACGGGTATAGACGTCATATGGCGGTAAGCTATGCTACTAACGCTGCCGTGGGTGGTATGCAACGCCGGCGAGGGACATTTCAAAACGTGCCTGACCACAACGCGAGTAGGCGCGTACACGCAGGATTTCCTCTTTCCCCCTCCGCGCGTACGCACATACTACGCGTACTATACGTAGGTACGCACATACTACGCGTACTATACGTAGGTACGTACATACTATGCGTACTATACGTTGGTACGTACATACTACGCGTACTATACGTAGGTACGTACATACTACGCGTACTATACGTAGGTACGTACATACTATGCGTACTATACGTTGGTACGTACATACTATGCGTACTATACGTAGGTACGTACATACTATGCGTAGGTACGTACATACTACGCGTACTATACGTAGGTACGTACATACTACGCGTACTATACGTAGGTACGTACATACCACGCATACTATAAGTAGGTACGTACATACTATGCGTACTGTACGTAGGTATGTACATACTACGCGTACTATGCGTAGGTACGCACATACTACGCGTACTATACGTAGGTACGTACATTCTACGCGTACTATACGTAGGTACGCACATACTACGCATACTATACGTAGGTACGTACATACTGCGCGTACTATGCGTAGGTACGTACATACTACGCGTACTATGCGTAGGTACGCACATACTACGCGTACTATACGTAGGTACGTACATACTACGCGTACTATACGTAGGTACGTACATACTACGCGTACTATACGTAGGTACGTACATACTACGCGTACTATATACGTAGGTACGTACATACTATGCGTACTATACGTAGGTAGGTACATACTACGCGTACTGTACGTAGGTACGTACATACTACGCGTACTGTACGTAGGTCCGCACATACTACGCGTACTGTACGTAGGTACGTACATACTACGCGTACTGTACGTAGGTACGTACAGCCGGGCAAGCCATCACGAGCGGATGAAGCGAATGCAAAGCGCGTGCCATGTCGCCGCGTCTCCGGCGAGAAATTGAAAAAGATATAAATGAGTCAAGCCGTCCACCTTATCTAGCGGACCGGACCGTGCATTTACGCTCCCGCCACAATCCTCTGACTCAGCTTTCTGCTTCGCATCCGATGTGATTCTCACGCCGAACGTATATCACCGCGGCAGACGAAACGCTCCCCGTCATGGCGGAAATACTACGGGGCCGTTATTAGGGAAAACGAGCACGTAGCACGCCTTACAAATATCTCTAGAATTCGCGTGCGCACGAAGACGGGCCGTGTGCGGCATGTCGGCAGCAAATAACGAGAGAATTCGTTGGCGGCTCGTTCGCGAGGTCGCTTGCGCGCGCTCCAAATTGCGTCGTTTGTGCGATATTAAAGTTTCGTATATGTGCTGTTATATTTTCGCGTGTGTGTGTGTGTATGTTGCAGGCGCTTTCTTGATACCGTATTTGATCACGCTGTTTTTCGCTGGAATTCCGCTGTTTTTCCTCGAGTGTGGTCTAGGGCAGTTTCTATCCGTCGGAGGGTTGGGCGTGTGGAAGATATGTCCCATCTTCAAAGGTGCGTTCTGTTTGTTCTCAACATCTTGCACGTACTACTCTTAGTGTAGCGATAATTATATATGTCATATATATATATCACGTATTATATATTTTTTGCCGTCACCTGTATCCGTAATATTGACAAAACCCAAATGGCGACAACAACCACGACAACCACCACAACAAAAAACAACATAAGCAATAACAACAACAGCAGCAGTATCAACAACAACAACGACGACAACAACGAAAACAACAACAAAAAGCTACCGACAATAGTTGTTTATGGTTAGCTATCGCACTCAAACGTAATAATTTTTACCGCGGTACCGCGGTAAAAATATTATTTTTGCGTACGATTGGCAATCATAGCCGCCCACCTTCATCGCTATGTTCCACCATCGTTTAAATAACAATAAATCAACGTCAATAAGAATATTAAAAGATTATTCGCGTGCCTGTAAATTATTATACTGTAACGGTGTTATCGTGTAACATGCACCATGGTTACATGCGCGTGTATATGTGTATATGTATGTATGTATGTATGTATGTATGTATGTATGTATGTATGTATGTATAGTAGTAGATGTCAGTAATGTATGTATGTAGGTAATGTATGATGTATGTATGATTATGTATGATGTATGATATGTATGATGTATGTATGTATTATGTATGTAATGTATGTATGTTATGTATGTATGTATGTATGTAATGTATGTATCGACTGTATGCTAGTATGTAGGTATGTAATGTATGTATGTATGTATGTAGGTATGTATGTATGTAGATACTGTCATGTATGATATGTACTGTAATGTATGTATTAGGTATGTATGTAGTATGTATGTATGTATTTACTGTATGTATGTATGTAGTAGTATGTATAGTTGTATGTAGGATGTAGTGTTGATTTGTTTGATTTATATGTATGTATGTATGTATGATTATGTTGTATGTATGTAGTATGTATTATTATGTATGGATGTATGTATGTATGTATGTATCGTATGATAGATAAAATGTAGTACATGTCATCGTAATAATAAATGTATGTATGTATGTATGTACTGTACGTACTGTATGTATGGTCTAGCTATGCTATGCTATGTATGTATGTACATGTAGAGTATGTATGTATTATCGTATGTATGATATGTATGTAGTATGTAATTATGTATGTATGTAATGTATGTTATTATGTTATGTATTAGTATAGTATTAATCGTATGTATGTATGTATGTATGTTGATTTATTTTTCTATGTATGTATTCATGTAATGTATTATGTATCGTATGTACTGTATGTATGTATGTATGTATTGTACGGTATGTATGTATTATGCTACGTTACGTACGTACCGTCGTATGTACGCCCGGTTACCGTACGTATGTAATGTATGTAGGTATTTATAGTATGGTACGCGTAGGACGGTAAGTGTGTATTTGTATGTAAGTGTTTCTACTACGCAGGTGTCGGCTATGCGGCGGCTGTGATGGCGTTTTGGTTGAACATCTATTACTTTTTCTCGCCTGGCGCTTACTTAAGCTAGTGAGTTCCTTTAGGAAAACACTACCGTGGAGCACGTGCGACAACCCGTGGAACTCTAAGTAGGTTCTCTCCGCGATTTCTGCCAATTTTCACCACATGCATATTAGCTGCAATATGCGAACGGATACATCCAGCAAATGTAGCATTATTTCAAATACATGCGACCCCAAGGGAGGACATGAGTCGTCTGGAATGTTAGCAAAGCTTTCGTCAGAGCCAACTATGCTGGCATTATTAGTGATAGTATGGGCATACGTGTGTTGGCTGAATCGACAGTATTTGTAGTACGCGCAGATTGACTATATTACCGTCATGTCGTCATGTTTTTTCTTACGACTCGCGTAATATTGCACTTCATACGATAATTGAACGACCGAACGTAATGCGGTGAAATGCCCACGCCCCTCGAAATTGTGACTAGTTTGGTCAAGCTAGACTATTTTATACTGGGTTTACACCAAAAATTGCGCCTGCACGACACTTCGTTACTAAGCAACGTTTTAAGAACGCTCTATCGCAACCGTAATTGGTTGAAACCATCCGTCAGTCACCTCACGCGCCAAGTGCATTTATTACGCACCGGACGCGTGAATGATACCCAGCATATACAGTAATATCTCAGCAAAATAACCGTTTTTTTTTAAATCAATCTACAATCGTCAAATAACCCTGGGTTTATTAAAATCAATCTAACAAAACGGCAATATAACCGTAGTTTAAAAAAAAATCAATTTAACAAAACGGAAATATAACCGTGTTTTTTTAAAATCAAATGAACAAAATGGAAATATAACCGTGTTTTTAAAATCAATCTAACAAATCGTCAACTACTCCAACCTTCGGGTTTTTTTTGAAATACATCATCTAACAAATCTTCTCATCAGTAACCGTGTTTGTTTAATCAATTATCACACAAAATGGAAATATAGACCGGTCTTTTTTCTTTTACAATCAATCTGAACAAAAACGAAATAATAACCGATGGTTTTTTAAAATCATCATAACAAAAACGGAAACGATAAACCGTCTCTTTTTTATAATCAATTCTAACACAATAGAAATACCGAGGTGTATTTTTTAACATCAGACTAAACCAAATCGTCAATTATACACCGTAGTTTTTTAAATCAGCACCTAACATAATCACATTCACAATAAACCGTGGTTTTTTTAAATCGCACTAACCAAATATCGTCCATTATACCGCCTGTTTTCTGCTGACCGCCGCGCACTTCTGCACTCGGAGTACTCAGGCGATGACAGCGAACCAACTCACGCGGGGAGGCTTCAACGTCGACGACGCGTCGGAGCGCTAACATGGACCGTGATCGTGGACCGCAGACTCATCCACGCCGACGAATACGTGTCGCCCTGCGCGATACTGCAATACGTATATACGCAGGATAACGCAAGCCGTATCAGCAATTACCAGCTATAATGACGCAAATGTAGAATTAAAAATCATATACTGTTAAACTCAAGTCGCGTATCGGCGGTCGGTTCGGTACGGTCGGCGGTCGTCGTCGGATCGGTCGGTCTCGGTCGGGCTCACAAGTCGCGGCGGTCGGTCGTCGCGTCGGTCGGATCGGTCGGTTCCTCGGATCGGTCGTCGTTCGGTCGGTCGAGTCGGTCGTCGGTCGGTCGCCTCGTCGCGTCGGTCGGTCGCGTCGCGTCATGGTCGTTCGGTCGCTGGATCGGTCGTGGCGTTCGGTCGGTCGATCGTCGGTCGGCGTCTGTCGGTCGTCGGAATCGATCGGTCGGTCGCGTCGTCGATCGGTTCGTCGGTCAGGATCGGTCGATCGTCGTCGTCGGTCGGTCGAGATCGGTCGTCGGTCGTGTCGTCGTCTCTCGGTCGGTCGGCAGGTCGGCGGTCGGCGGTCGTCGGTCGGATCCGCGAGTCGTCCGTCGGTCGGTCAGCGTCGTCGGTCGGTCTCGGTCAGGTCTTCGGTCGGTCCGGTCGGGTCGGGTCGGATCGCGTCGTCCGGTCCGTCGGTGTCGGTCGCGTTGCGGTCAGTCAGGCGGTCGGTCGGTCAAGTCGGCTACCATGTTAACATTATTGTCTAAATTCGCTTGCGACCATGCCTCGTTGCGTTTTATGCAGACGTCAAGTTCCTTTACAATATCAAGCGGACTGGGAGAGCTGTGATGCGCTACGCTGGGACAGCGACTATGTCTATTTCCTCGGGTGATGAGCTTACTTCTGCATCTGAGAAGGAGTACAAAGTCGACCAGCGTAGTAATTACGGCTCGATTAAAACTTCGTGTAGAAGAGTGGAAGTCTAGGCAAATAAAATAGTGATCATGAATAGGTAGAATGAGTAGATGCGGGCCGGTGCATTACATGTGGTGTGGTGTGTGCTGTGTGTGGACGTGGGTGGGTAGTGATTTGGTTTGCGTGCTGCGTGCGTGCTCCGTGTTTCTGCGTGTTGTGTGAGGATGCTTGCGTACGTGGTACGCTGCGTGCCTTCGCTGGCGTGGTGCGTGTCGTGCGTGCGTGCGTGAACTCCGAGTGATGCGTGCAGTCCGTTTCTGCGAGCTGTGGAGTATCTTGCATTCTGGTACGTGCCGTCGCCGTGTGCGTGCGTCCGATTGCCGCCGATCATAAATCTACAATAATCACGCAAATATAATAATCAACCAATAGAACACCGACACAGACGACTATTGTCGTCCCTCCGCCCTGCCGTCCCTCGGACACATGCGTCGCCGACTTAAGCAGTAGCTCCTTTTAGTTGACTCCGCCACCGCCACGACAAAGCCAGCACAACCCCTCTTATGACAGCTATAGCGTATCGTAGTTCCGATGAGAGGAGCGCCTGGCATTGCGGGGAGCCGCCCGGCGCAATTTCCATGAGCAAGGATCGTAATCGGTTAACATTTATAACGTACGTCCGAAAGATAACATAAGAAATATAGCAATGATAAATATAGCATGATAAATCGCGAGACTAGCGATCGCGCGAGTATTGATAAATCAATGGCGCGTCGAGTGTGCGATGCCATTATCACTTGCAAACGCTCCAACTGAATAAAGCAGTAACAAAATGTTCAGTTAGTACGAAACAGTTTGCAGTATGATTCCGTCCATTAGAGGAAATACATACAACGAAGGTGCATCTGAATTGGACGTTGACAGGATACTGTAAGCACAGTTATTCTCTTGACGGTTCGTTGGACAACGCCCAGACCACCACCACCATCACAAACAACAACAACAACAATCAACAACACACCAACAAACAAAACAACAACAACAACAACAACACACAACAACAACAAAACTAAACACACAACAAAAACAACTAAAACACACAACAAGCAACAAACACAACAAACACACAACAACAACAACAACAACAACAACAACAACAACAACTACAACAACTGCAACAACACCACCACTACCACCGCCGCCGCCGCCACCACCAACACCACGACCACCACGACCACCACGACGACGACGACGACGACGACCACCGCCGCCGCCGCCGCCACCACCACCACCACCACCACCACTACTACAATCACACATCACCAACGCACACTTACACGCACACGTACACAAACGCGCCCACATTTTTTATTCATAACATAACTATTAAATTAAAAGGCCACTTCTACGACTAAAAAGCGTCGATGACAACAGTTTAGGCGGTTAATTATTAAGTTGTGTTGCAACAAAACATTACGCTCACCGAACTAACCACTTATTTCTCCATTATCGTCCCCCTAAAAGAGTCCCATAGATGGTCACATTTCTAAGCAAATATACTTCCATGCAGTTTTTGATGCGAGCCATCTTACAATGCATTAATAATGACCTTCATAAATGCACATCAGCATGCTTCACCGTGAGACTGACACCACGAGACCGCCTCTTTCTGTAGCGAGCGATTTAGGCAGCACACGTGTAAACGACTCGCATCCAGTCTAGCTTAATAGGCGATGGTTTTAGAATATCATCGGTTCGAAAGCGCCTAATGGCATTTTGCAATCAAATTTCGCGCGAAAACAGGAGTTATTCTTCTGTGTGAGTTGACGTTAACCCGCTCAAACACGACAGAGCCGAAATCGCGATTGTGCGAGAGTCTATATATAGAGGACCTCTATCGCAAATGAGCGGCTGGTATACCCGCATTCTAACACATGTCAACTTTGAAACCGAACAATGAAGAAAATCTCGACACGATATTTAACGCGCTCGAAACGCAAAAAAATCTCGACACGTAGTTATTGCTATAGTCAGGGGCGATTATGAAATTCGATTTATGCGCGTCGTTTTAATGGTTAGAGCGACGGCCAATTTCCGAAATCGTTTTGTGAATGCACGCCCCGCAATATCGAATATCGCATCAGCATTCGGCTGCCTTGCTCTCGAATTTATTGCCATCTGATAAGCGAGATATTAAATCGCTTGTAAAATGGAGAAATCATAACCTCCCGACCGATATTCAAATCGCAGTAAACCGGAAATCTCTCTCCATCTCTCTGCCGACTAGAGAGAGAGAGAAAGTGAGAGAGAGAGAGAGAGAGAGAGAGAGAGAGAGAGAGAGCGACGCACGACCCGACCGACCGACCGACGCGACCGACGACCGACGACCGACCGACGAGCCGACGACCGACCGACCGACGGACCGACGACGACGACCGGACGACCGATCCGAACGACGCACCGACCGACCGACGACCGACCGACGACGCGACGACCGACGACCGACCGACCGACCGACCGACCCGACCGACCGACCGAGCCGACCGACGCCGATCGACCGAACGACCGACGACGACCGACGACCCGACGACGACCGACCGACCGACCGGACCGACCGACCGACCGCGACACCGACCGACAGACGAATCTGAGTTTAAACAGTATATATTTTAATTCGAACCATGCGTCATTATAGCTGTAACTGCCGATCGGCATTCGTTACTGCCGTATATACCTACTCCCAGTAACTCGCGTCACGGGACGGACTACGTACTTCCGTCCCGTGGATGATAGTCGTCGATCCACACACGTCATGATTACCGCCTCCGACGTCAATCGTACACGTTTTGCACCCTCCACCCGCGGCGTGTGTCTCGCGTCTATCGCCTCGTACTCGCATGATCAGAACCTGCGCGGCAGGTCACAAAGAACCATCGCGGTCATATAATGACGATTGTTAGCTGCTGATTTTAAAAACACGGTATATTGCACGATTTCGTAGTCTATAAACAAAACCACGTCTATATTGACCCGATTTGTTCAGTCTGATTAACAAAAAACGCGTATATTTCACTTTTGCTAAATTTGATTTAACAAAAAGACTTATACATTTCGATGTCTGTTAGATTGACTTTTAAAAAACACACGGTTATATATCCGTTAGTGTTAGATTGTATTTAAAAAAAAAACCGCGTTATATTTCCATTGTAAATTGATTAAAAAAAACACGGTTATATTGACGATTTGTTAGATTGATTTAAAAAAAACCACGGTTATATTGACGATTTGTTAGATTGATTTTAAAAAAACACGGTTATATTTCCATTTTGTTAAATTGATTTAAAAAAAACCACGGTTATATCCGTTTTGATTAATGATTTTTTTTACAACAACTACGGTTATATTTCCGTTTTGTTAAATTGATTTTAAAAACCAGGGTTATTTGACGATTTGTTAGATTGATTTTAAAAAAACACGGTTATTTTGCTGAGATATTACTGTATATGCTGCGGGTTATCATTCACGGCGTCCGTGCGTAAATAAATCCACTTGCCGCGTGAGGTAGACTTGACGGACTGCTTTCATACAATCTACAGTTGCGATAGATGCGATTCTTAAAAACGTTGCCTTAGCTACAGAAGTTGTCGTTGCAGCGCAATTTGTTGCGTGAAAAACCCAGCTAGTAAAATAGTCTAAGCTGACCCAAACTAGTGCACAATTCGAGGGCGGCATTTCACGCATTAACGTTCGCGTCGTTTACATTATCTATGAACTGCATATATTACGCGATTGATAAAAAAAAACATACGACATGACTGTCAATATAATCACATCTGCGCTACTTAAAAATACTGTCGATTCAGCCAACACACGTATGCCCATACTATCACTAATAATGCCAGCATATTGGCATCTGACGAAGCTTTGCTAACTCCAACGACCATTACCTCCCTTGGGCGCATGTATTGAAATAATGCTCATCATATTGCTGGAATGTATCCTCGCATATTGCAGCTAATACGCATGTGGATGAAAATTGGCAGAAATCGCGGAGAGACAACCTACTTAGAGTTCCACGGGTTGTCGCACGACTGCCCTCCAGGTAGTGTTTTCCCTAAAGGAACTCACTAGGTAGTAGAGGCCCCAGCGAGGAATAATAATGAATAGATGATATCCAACCAAAACGCCACTCAACAGCCCGCATAGCCCGACACTGCGTAGGAGAACACTCAATACACACATAACACACTTACCCGTCCTACAATACATCACTCACAATACATACATACGATACATAGTTACCGGACGGTACTACAGTACGATACGTACGTACTGTAGACATACATACATACATACCTACATACATACATACAGACATACATATCATACAATACATACCATAACATACATACATACAATAACATAGCATACATAATGACACAACATACATACATACAATAACATACACTACATACATACATACATACATTACAGTTACATACATACATACACCTACATACATCGACATACAGACATACATACATACATACAATACCATACATACATACATACATACAACTAACAACTACATAGCATACACCTACCATACATCACATACTACATACATACATACATACATAAACAATACATACATAACATACATACATACACTACACATACTAAATACATACATACATACATACATACATACAATACATACATACATACATAACATACATACAACATACATACATAATACATACATACAATACATACATAACATACAACACTACAATACATACATACATCAACATACATACATACATACACAAATACAATACAACATAACACTACATTACATACATACATACTAACAACATAGCAACATAACATACATACATACATACATAACATACCATACTACATACAACTACATTACATTACAGTACATACATACATACATACATACCATACATACCATTACGATACACTACATACAGTAACATACATACAACTACAATACAATACATACATACATACATACATACATACATACATTACATACAGGCATAATACTACATCACATACAACATAATACAATACATAACATACATACATACATACATACATACCTACATACATACATAACATACAACATACATATCATAACATATACACAAATATACACCGCCTAGTAACCATGGCCTGCAAATGTTACACGATACACCGTCTACAGTATAATAATTTACAGGCACGCGATAATCTCTTTAACTATTCTTATTGACTTGCATTTATTGCTTATTTAGACGATGGTGGAACATAAGACAGATAAGAAGGTGGGCGCGGCTATGATTGCCAAGTCGTACGCAAAAATAATATTTTACCGCGGTACCGCCGTAAAAATATTACGTTGAGGTGCGAATAAGTAACCATAACAAATTGTCGGTAGCTTTTTGGCTTGTTTCGTTGTGGCGTTCGTTGTGTTGCTTTATACTGCCTGCTAGTTGTCATTGCTTATGTTGTTTCTTTGTTGTGGTGGTTCGTCGTGTTAGTGTCGCCATTCCGTTTTGTCAACTATTAGCGATACAGGATGACCGCAAAATATATAATACGTGAATATAATATATATATATATATATATTATACTATATATCATATATATGACATATAATAATATCGTACACTAAGAGTAGACGTGCAAGATGTTGAGAACAAACAGAACGCAACCTTGAAGATGGACATATCTTCCACACGCCCAACCCTCCGACGGATAAAACCCTCTAGACCACACTCGAGGATAAACAGCGGACATTCCAGCCGAAAACAGCGTGATCAAATACCGTATCAAAGAAGCGCCTGCAACATAACACACACACACCGCGCGAAAAATACAACAGACACATACGACCACTTATATCGCACAAACGACGCTCAAATTGAGCGGCGCACAACGACGACTCGCGAACGAGCCGCCAACGAAATTCTCTCGTTATTTGCTGCCGACATGCCGCACACGCCGTCTCCGTGCGCCGCGAATTCTAGAGATATTGTAATGGGATGCTACGTGCTACGTTTCCCTAATAACGGCCCCGTGTATTTCCCCATGACAGGGGAGCAGTTTCGTCTGCCAGCGGTGATATACGTTCGGCGTTGAGAATCACATCGACTGCGAAGCAAAAGCTGAGTCAGAGGAATTGTGGCGGAGCGTAAATGCACGCGTCCGTGTCCGCTAGATAAGGTGACGCCTTGACTCATTGTATATCTTTTTCAATTTCTTCGCCGGAGACGCGGCGACATGCACGCCTTTGCATATCGCTTCATGCGCCTCGTATGGCTTCCCCGGCTGTACGTACCTACGTACAGTACCGCGTAGTATGTACCGTACCTACGTACAGTACGCGTATATGTACAGTACCTACGTACAGATACGCGTAGTATGTACCTGCCTACGTATACGTAACGCATAGTAATGACGTACCTACGTATATAGTACGCGAGTTATGTACGGTACCTAGTATAGACGCTAGTATGTACGTACCTACGCTATAGCTACGCGCTAGAGTACGTACCTACGCTATAGTACGCCGTAGTATGTCCGACCCTACGTATAGTACGCATAGTTGTACGTACCTAACGTATCAGTACGTATAGATGTTACGGACCTACTATATAGACGCGTATTATATACGACCTACGTATAGTCGCGAGTATGTACTCTACC